CTAAAATGGCTACATATTCTGTGAATTCAAATACATGACATTCAGGAAAAGGCCAAACTATGAAGACTAAAGAGATGAATCATTGCCAGGGGCAATGGGGAGGGAGGGATAAATAAGCAGAACACACAGGATTTTTAGGGCAGTGAAACTATTCTGTTTAATACTACAGTGGTGGATGCATGTCATTGTACATTTTTCAAAACCATAGAATGTACAACATGGAGAATGAACCCTAATGCAAACGGTGGACTTTGGATGATAGCAGTGTGTCAGTGTAGACTCATCAAGTGTAACAAATGTATGTCATGGTGCCAGATGTTGATAGTAGAAAAGGTTGTATATATTTGAGAACAGGGACTACATGGGAACTCTTTCAACTCAATTTTGTTATGAACCTAAAAGTGTTCTAAAAAATAAAGTTTATAATATTCTTTATTTTTTATTTTATTTTATTTTTTAAGATGGAGTTTTGCTCTTGTCACCCAGGCTGGAGTGCAATGGTGCCATCTTGGCTCACTGCAACCTCCACCTCCTGGGTTCAAGCAATTCTCCAGCCTCAGCTTCCTGAGTAGTTGGATTACAGGCACATGCCACCACATCTGTAATTTTTGTATTTTTAGTAGAGACAGCGTTTCACCATGTTGGCCAGGCTGGTCTCAAACTCCTGACCTCAGGTGATCCAACCACCTCAGCATTCCAAAGTGCTGGGATTACAGGCGTGAGCCACTGTGCCCGGCCCTATTAATATTTTTTAAATGGTTAGATGGTAAATTTTATGTGTATTTTACAACAATTTAAAATAAAAAATAATATATTTAAAAATACATGGGTAACATACCAGAGTTCAAGATAGATAACGAATTTTAATACAGCATGTTAAGAAAAGTTCATTGATATGTTCTACATTACAACTAAACTTTACCATTGGTCAAGTTTTGGTGTAGTATACAAAGAATACCTTTAATTATCTGAAAAAAAGGTAAAATTATTTCTTCCTTGTCCTTTTCCAACTACATAGGCTAGATTTTCCTCAGATACGTCACATGAAATATATAGCAAGAGACTGACTGCAAAACCAGAAATGAGAAGTAGCTGTCCTCTATTAAAGGAGACATTAAAGAGATTCACAAAAATGTTGCTCTTCTCATATTTTTTGTTTGGAAAATATATTTTTATTTTGAAAATGTGATACTTATGTTAACAAATAAAAGGCATATTACTTTTTTTTTCTTTGAGACAGAGTCTCCCTCTGTCACCCAGGCTGGAGTCCAATAGCATGACCTTGGTTCACTGCAACCTCCGCCTTCTGGGTTTAAGCAATTCTCCTGCCTCAGCCTCCCGAGTAGCTGGGATTACGGGCGTGCACCACCACACCTGGCTAATTTTTTTTGTATTTTTAGTAGAGATGGGGTTTCACCATGTTGGCCAGCTGATCTTGAACTCCTGACCTCAGGTGATCCACCCACATCGGCCTCCCAAAGTGCTGGGATTACAGGTGTGAGCCACCACACTTGGTTGTTACTTTTAATTAATGAAATACACATTCTTACATTTCTATTTTAATTTCTAATATGTTAAACATTGATATAAATCCACATAAACAAAAGCTCTTTGAGAATCTCAATAATTGTTAATGTATAAAGGAGTTCGGAACCCAAAAACTTTGATAACCACTGCATTCAAATTTTGTATGTGTTAGGAACTGAATGTATCCCACAAAATTCTGTGTTGACTCCCTAACCCCCAATATGACAGTATTTGGTTATGGCCTTTGGGAGGCAATCAAGGTTAGATGAAGGCATACAGTGGGACCCTCAGGAGGGGATTCATGCCCTTATAAGATGAGACATCAGAGAATTTGCTCCTGCTGTCTCTTTCCCTGTACACGAAGAAAGGGTCCTGTGAGTACACAGGGAGAAGGCAGCTGTTTACAAGCCAGGAAGAGAACTCTCACCCCAATCTAACCAGGCTGACACTCTGGTCTTGACCACACCTCTGCTATGCTGCAGAGGTAATTATAACAGGATAGGAAGGAGAGTAGGAAGAGTTCTCAAAAATTTACACTATCACAGGGGAGGTGTACATGCAAGTAAAATGTCTGGATATGCCCTTATTTTCCTTCTCTTTTTACATACTATTCTGATTCTTGTCAGTGGGAATCGTGTCACTTCCTGCCTCTCCACAGTGGTCCATTTGCATTGTTTGGAGGTAATTACAGTTTATTTAGCAGTTCTCTTACTAATGAACTTTTATAGTTTTTCAATCATTTTGCTGTTAATTAATACATTAGTCAGATCCTACTGCCATAACAAAATAGCATAGACGGCATGGCTTAAACAACAGAAAATGATTTTCCTCATAGTTCTGGAGAACTATGAGCTGGAGTCTCCCTCTGTAGCCCACTGCACTCCAGCCTGGGCGACAGCAGGGACTCCGTCGCAAACTTTTTAAAATTTTTTAATAATTAGACAGGATCTCTGTTGCCCAGGCTGGAGCGCAATGGGTGCAATCTCGGCTCACTTCAGTCTCCACCTCCCAGACTCACGTGGTCCTCCTCCCTCAGCGTAGCTGGGACCACAGGTGCGCGCCACCACCTCGAAGCATTTTTTAAAACTTTTTTGTAGAGATGGGGTCTCGCTGTGTTGCCCAAGCTAGTGTCCAACTCCAAGGTCAAACTCTGCTCTCCTCGACCTCCCAAAGCCCGGGGATTACAGGCGCGAGCCCCGGCGCAGGGTCCTGAGTCTTCTCCTTCCGGACGGGGCGCCCACTCCCCCGGAAAAGGCCCCGTTGCCAGGATGACAGGGCCAAAGGGACCCAGGCAGGGAGGGCCCCGGGCTTTGCAGGGAGTTGGGCCGCAGTGTGAGCACCCGGACGAGTGTCAGGGTCTAGGCTGGCTCACCGGGTCTTGACGCCAGGAGGCAGCAGAGCCCTGCCAGCAGCAACCAGAGGCGGAACATGGTGCGGCTTCGGGGCTGCCAACTGGAGGCCGTTGGGACGCCGGGAGTTACCGGAAGTTACCGGGAGTTACCGGAGACGCGGGGACGCGCGGACGCCGGGGGCCGCTCGCCGCGCGTTCACGGAGCAGCGTTCTCAGGAGGCCTGGGAGCCCGGGGTGCTCTCTGTGTTTAGCGCCCAGAACACTCCGTGTTTAGCGCCGAGGCTAAAGCCCCAGACGCGTGGTTGCTGGAGCCATCTGACCACCCAGCGCCCTCTGTCGCGATCGAGCTCGTCGTCTTCCACTAATTTTTCGCTTTGCGTTGATGGACCTTAAGAACTGACACACTAATTCACACTCAGCGTGTGCTCTTCTGCCCCAGACATTTCCTGGGTGCTCACTATTGCCCAGGCTGGTCTCGAACTGCTGGATTCAAGCGATCCTCCCTTATATACCCAGTAACAAGACTGCTGGGTCAAATGGTATATCTGCCTCTAGGTCTTTGAGGAATCACCAACGTGATTTTATGGATGCACGCAATTTCAAAAGGGCAATCTATGCCTGAAATCAATAGCATGAACAAAAACAAGTCAACAGGCCCAGCGCAATGGCTCACACCTGTAATCCTAGCACTTACCGAGGCCGAGATGGGTGGATCACCTGAGGTCAGGAGTTCAAAACCAGCCTGGTCAACATGGTGAAACCCCATCTCTACTACAAAATACAAAAATTAGGTGGGCATGGTGGTGGGTGCCTGTAATCCCAGCTACTTGGGGAGGCTGAGGCAGGATAATCGCTTGAACCCAGGAAGTGGAGGTTGCAGTGAGCCAAGATTGTGCCACTCCAGCCTGGGTGACAAGAGCAAAACTCCATCTCAGAAAAACAGACACATACACATGCGTGCGCGCAGGTACACATGGCAACAAAAAAATACACTGAGCTTTTATCTCAATAGGAAAAGCCAATGCTAGGCTAAGACTGCTTTTAGGCAGCTGCTGAGCCACAGCTAATTTCACCTAGCTTTGTAACAAATACAGTAAATGCTTCAATTCATCGATTAGTGATAAGTATTCTGAATGAATTTCTGGTTCTTATATTTTGTTCTTTCTCACTCCTCAACCTTTCCAGTTTGTATCTTTAATATTAGGCTGATTTTGTATTATTCTTACATGTGTGTATGGCTCTCTTCATAACAGAAGATGACTTCTAAGTCAGGAAACATATCCTATCCAGAACTTAGATATCACAGTGCCTGAAAAAATGGTAGGGTTTTGGTAAACATTCATGAAATTTAATAAAATCTGATTTGGGTCTAGAAAATCAGATTTTATTAAATCAAATTGTGCTTAACTCTATGGTTACAGACACAGGCTTGATAGGAAGAATGCAATAACCCTGAACAAGGTCAGTTTGACACATTGGAGTCAATTAGAGATGTCAAACTTGCATATAATTTATCCTTATTTATTCTTTTTGATGATAGAAAGGATGTCCTTTACTATTTTCAAATTTTGAAATGGCATCCATAACCAAGAAAGTAAAAACATAAAGTATATTTTAAAATACATCAAAGTAAAAGAAGTTCAGATCCAACACTCTTTAAAAACTTTCTAGTCAAAGATCCAAGGAACTATCTAATTCCAAGAAAAGTGTTAAGTTACATAGTTAATACATTACCAACTGTAAAATTTCAGTGATAAGCATTACAATTGCAAAAACTGAGGCTACATGAAAGGGACGAACATTTGAATCTTATATTCATTCAGAGATTTACAATGAAATGATGGGCCTTCATTTGAGATTGCTCACAATGTTTAATATGTACACCTGATCTACACCTGATCGTTCAAATAACATGCTATCTTCAGAGAACTTAAATTTTTGCCTTCTTCAAAACTAATCTGTTTTTCTTTAATAACAAAAAGCCATTGTGCACACTTTGGCAAAAGTCTGAAAAATGAGTGAGATAATATCTGTAAAAGTTTGACTAGGATTGTTATATAAAATTACAACTTTTTAATAAGATTATAAATAGTTGAGTAGGAAGCCACTAGGAGACACAAAAGAGAATTTCAGGTATTTTATTTATTGTAAATGTTGTATCTGTATATGTATATATACACAAACCAAAAACACTTTTAAAAAACTAATGAAATTCAGTTAATAAACCTATTAAACTTTATTATGAAAGGTTATGAAAACATTTTTAGTGCTTAAAATTTTACTATCCATGCCATTTCTGCCATAGTAAAAATTCATTTTTAACACAGCTCAGATGATAACTCATAGATACCACAGTAACTTTTTTGTACGTATTTAAGAAAACCTTTTGTTCCTTCTTTCTCCAGCCTAATTTCTATGAAAATATTAGTGTCGACAAAGACATGACCCAGCACACCTTAGTAAATGTAAACATTCTAAATGATTTAATAGCAAGCTTTGAAAGTTCAGATTTTAGACCTAAAGTGCTCATGAAATTTTCAAGTGGTTTTGTAACAGTTCAATTGATTGAAGATTTTATAATTGCTCCTGCTTTATTATAGTCATGAATCAACAACATATTTGATTAGATCTATTAAATATTTCGTACCTTAAAGCTTATAATTTATTTAAAATAGTGCTATTGTGAAAGGATGTCATGCTTTATTTAACATGATTCATAATAGAAATTCTAATATTAATTTCTCTAAGAATTATCTATAGTTGAAAGATCATAAAAATGGAAGCGAAGAACTGTGCATGAATATACACACTCTTAGTATATTTTGTACTTTCAAAATAATATGACATCTTAATTGTGGTTCTTGTGCATTCTTTTGAAGACAGAATATTTGCTTATTCATGTAGTGAATGACAGACAAGATTCTAGAGTATGATGATTATTAATTCGTGCAAGATGAAAAACATTACATATCATTGGCAGCTGATTAGTCAGTTTTCACAGGTATTAGATTATCACGTTTAATCAGAAACTACATTAATGATAACTAAGGTCAAAAATTCAGAATAACATTTAAACACATAATGACAAATCTTACACCAATACAGTTAATTTGAAAATCATCACAATGATATGTTCAAAATAACGTAATCCATGATTAGTGCATTAACCTCATGATGACTGAATAATTATTTAATGATGGAAAAGGAAATGTTACTGTAAATTCCCTGGTTTTACTGCATTTCCTTGTATTTCTCAATTCTCACACTCAGTTTCTGTTTATCTGTGTTAGTAAAGTCTGTTTTGTGATATTTTGTTTTCATTCATAGTTGTAACAGGAAGAAAGGCTTTTCAAGAAAACAAGAAAAAAAAAGTATTAGCTCAGTTCCCTGAAGACATTTGCAAAAAGAAGATTAAAAAATCAAGTGAGGGAACTATATAAAGGAGGTGCAGGAGCAGGACGGGCAGGAATTAAGTTTCCCTGAGATGATACTTTCGGTTGTGGTGGAGGTGGCCTGTGAGGGAAAAAAAGTTAATAACATGTTTAGACTGGATGAATTAATGCCCTATTCATTACAAGCTCAACATAATACCATCCTCAACATCTCTGACAATAGGAAAGGGTACTTTACATTCTGAGATCAGTATTAAGGTGATATTCAATGGCTAAAGGGCTCTAATTAGAGTCTAAAATGGAATAACTACTTTAAATAATGCTACTCCACAATCAACAATGTTATATGAAGGTTCTAGTTTACATGTTTTGTTTTGTTTTGTTTTGTTTTGTTTTGTTTTGTTTTGTTTTTCAAAAAATAAAAGCACAAGAAATGGTAAAGATAAACTGTAAAAGACAAGTGAGGACACTAAGTGATCGAGCACTTGTTTGTGCTGCTAGAATTTAAGGGCAGCAAACTACTGGTAGGTGTAAACCTAGCTGTTTATAGCTCCTTCAACATAAGGGAGCTCTCTCAACATGAGATCCACTCTGAGAATTAAATGTGTTATGACTTCTATACCTGTCCATCTCAGTCCTCATACTTCCACCTGTGGACACCCTCTCCTAGCCTCATCATCCAATTCTAATACACCTCTACTCCAGTAACACACTAGAACACTACCTGGTGAATGTCTCCCTCCCAATTTATATATTCTTCCCCTGATCCTCAGTTGGATTTCAACGTATTCTTATTGTATAATAAAGATTATGGCTGGGTGCAGTGGCTCACTCCTGTAATCTCAGCACTTTGGGAGGCCAAGGCGGGCGGATCACCTGAGGTCGGGAGTTCGAGACCAGCCTGACCAACGTGAACAAACCCCATCTCTACTAAAAATACAAAATTAGCCGGGCAAAGTGGTGCATGCCTGTAATCCCAGCTACTTGGGAGGCTTGAGGCAGGAGAGTAGCTTGAACCCAAGAGGCAGAATTTGCAGTGAGCCAAGGTCATGCCATTGCACTCCAACCTGG